GCGGCCTTGACCGCACTCCCGACACACACAACACATCCACCACATCCACCGTGCACACCCCCACCCTCGTTCCATCCGTCCGCACCACCATCACCACCACCGCCTCCTCTGTAGTTGACACCGACACCGCCGACTTCTCATGCCCACACTGTCCACGCACATTCACCTCACGCATCGGCCTGGTCGGTCACTTGCGAATCCATCGCACAGGGACTGGCGAACCAGTGCCTGGAGCACCCACCTATACCCACCAAGCTCTTCTCAACTGCCCACACTGTCCTCGCACTTTCAGGCATCGCATGGGCCTATTCGGCCACATGCGCATCCACGACGACCTGCGGTAGACAACCGCCGGCCACACCACACATTCACTCACTCCCTACCTCTTCCACCACCACCACCATCACCCCACCAGAAATCAACACTCACACACCTCATGCACCCAACTGCCACCTCCCACGCAAGTGGGAAGTCCGCATCTCGACTCGGTCCCCATGCGGCTTCGGCTGCACGGGTGACTTGAGTTTGAGACTATCCCGACACGTCAAGCGTCGTGGATAGGAAGGTTGCTGATTGACGCCCGCTCTCGGTTCACACAGTTCGTCGCGTTGTGTGTGTGTTGTGTGGAGTGGCGGACTGGTGGGCTGGGAACGAGCTGAAACAACACCTTCCACGGCACTCTCACGCAAGTGAGAGACACGCCGTTCAACCCCCGTTGTGTGAAATCCTGGTGTTTGTGTGTATGGGGGGCCAGGTCGTGCCGTGGTGCGCGCAGACATGGTCAGTCGACCATGACAGCCACCGCGCCCATTCCACACTCCAGTCTGCTGACCGGCTCGGACGGCGGCTGGGGTGTGTGGATGGGAAGGGAGAGTGAGGTCGACGACTCAGCGCATTTCCTCCTCACTATAAACAATCTGACGCGCTTGAAGCTATCACGGTGCGCTAAAAGCCGTGGCTTGGAAGGTTGCCAACTGACGGGGTAACTTGGACCTCCTGCTTGACCGGAGGCGGTCTGAGAGTCAGGCTGCCATGGCTCCTTTTTAATGTGGCCTTTATGGCACTCCCATCACAGTGTGAGATCCGAGCCAGGCGTTGGCGGCACGCCCAGGTGCGGCTTCGGCCGTGCTAGCCTCCAAATCTCTCTTGTGTTGGCTGAAATCCTGGTTATTTGTTGTGTGGACCAGGGGGTGTGGTGGAACGCCAAGGTGAGGATCCGTCCAAGCCATCCACCTGCGGCCTCTCTCGTCTCCGGTCTTCTTGACTCTGTCTTGACACCGGACTCGGGCGAGGGAGGAGGAGAGAGTGTAGGTAGATTGTACGCAAGTCTACCGGCACTATAAACCCCTGCGTAAGTCACTGTCCCTGCTCCCATTGCTGCTGCAACTGTGGGGCACACGGTGGACATCATCGAAACCGATGGTCGAACTGTCAGATCTGCATATACTACTGGTCTTTCTGTAAATGTTCACGCAGCCTTGGATTGAACCCCAATGCATAACGGGAAGAGCACGTCCGCTCCCCTCATCGGAAAGCGCTCCACGACCATATTTAATACACCTGACCAGACAGTTAGCCCCTGTCTCATCCTTGAAGGGTCAGACTTACCAATCCCCACTGTCAAAGAACCCGGGTTCGAATCCCTCTAAGTCTTGATTTGGGTAGGGCTGGTTGACGACGGCCAATAAGGCAAAAATGTCCACTCTTGTTTCCCTTGTCTTTGTCGCTCCTATCTTATCTAGATATGCTACTGTTAGCGATGAAACTGTTTTCGTGGGCTTAAGACTGATTCCCATTTCAGCACGGGACGACCACATCCCGTAACCTCTACCATCTTTATAGAGTAACCTAATAGGTCCTTCATCCTTACTATCCTATCAAAGCATTTTTGTACATGACGCTTGTGCGTTCGCATGAGTGTGTGCATGTTGGGGAAATTACCAAGTCTGATTCAACCTTTTTGTCGCCTCGCCAGTCGTGACTTGGCTTAAAAGGGTTGACAGAAACTAATAAAGACTTCACCACTCTACAGCTTCAAGACGACCCTATATAAATCTTTTCTAGGGGGTAAGTATTCTTGCTGAGATTCACCCAGTGGGGTGCACAGATGTGACCAGTAGTCACTGGATAGATATTCGGAGGGCAAACTAGGCGACCTTCAGCCAATCCCACTTTTGCGCAAAATTCGATTCGTTACCCCCCAGTTTGATGGCAGTCATGGGCTTGTTCCACTGAGTTTACTTTTATGTGGTGACAGCGACTATTACTGTTGGCCGAATACATGCAGCCTCATAAAGTCCTCGTCGACGTTGCGAATTTTTCAAGGATGACCGTAAATACCCTTTAAGAAGATAGGCCAGAAGACATAACTGGAGGGTAAATACTGCTAAGTATCTCACTGGTTACCGATACCTTATTTTATCTGAGAATGAGCACCTGGGACGATTCAAATGTTTAGACAAATTTACTGACCTCGATGGAAACAAACTTCTCTTCGTAATTTCAGCCTTACCAGTAACTTGCGTCACAGTGCGCGAAAAGTGTCAGATACTCTTGTTCTTATAAATGTTCCCTTTAAAAAGCTAAAGTGACCAGGTAGTTGTTTTCTTTTCACACGGTTGGGGAATACATGTTGGATGACAAGGAGGCCTCGGCCTTATCATCTTCATAGGGAGGAATAAAGTCATGGGTCAAACTCCGGCAGCCATCGTCAGTCACCGCACCATTTACGAACTTCTGCGGATAGAAAATCCACATCACAGTTGAATTCTTGTAGTGTCTGGCTCATCCCCGCCCACAGAATGCACAAGTGGTGTCTTGAAGAGAGTGTATTGCGGAGACAACTCCAGTTGCGATCCATGCAACTCGCTGCCACTGAGGGAGGCAGTGCTCCCCGTAGCCTCATTACTGATGACAGTGGTGTTAGTGGTGGCAGATCTGTCTGACGGAGATTCAAGACGTATCCTACTGTTTCTGCGACGTCTGGCCACGGTAGCGTTGGAAGCTGAGGAATTAAACCACCGCTTTCGTAGGTAACTGCAACCTGGAATGTAGTCACAGAGTCGGTGCGCCAAAGGTCTCGACGCGCTAGCAGTAGATGCGGAACGACCACAAGCATCCGACACTTTCGCCGCAGCACACTGCGATCTCAACATGCAGCGTTCACAGCCGTAGGTAAAACAGGGTGTCAACAGGGATTTTAGCGGTCGCGGACGCAGACGTTCTTTCCAGGCCTTGGGGACCTTTGATCTGCCCATACAACCACATTTCTTGTTTGACTTAGACTTTCCTTGCCTTCCTGCCCTCCCCACCTCTTTAGTCTTCTTTTTCTTGAGGGATTTAGTTCTTTTTAATGACCTGGAAATAGCTCTCTTGTGAGTCTTACCCACTTTGATTGATTTCCCACGAGTGATCACTGGTCTTTTTGTCTGCCCAGCCCTCGAGGAGGACCTTCGCGCCCTCTTTGTTGGTCTTGTTTGGGCAGACTGACAACTGTTTGGGCGTTTTTTTCCGGCCACAACTGGTAATCTAGGTACCACACATATAGGAAGCTCTTTGCGCACTTTTGAGGATGAGGACTGTCGTTGAAATCGTTTAGTTCGACTTCCTTTTCTGCTTCGCGGAGACGACGAGTTCTTGGCTCTCGATTTGCAGCAGACATTCAATTGTTTTGGTCTTTGGGGGACACGTTGGATATCAGCGCGACGTTTTCTCTCGGACACAGATGACCATTTCGGCACCACACATACGGGAATGGGTTTACGCATTTTCGAATATGCTGAGGAATTGCGTTGCGCGCAACTTCTGGATCGTTCTTTTTTGCTCCCTTTCAAAGCCATGCGCCTACAGCTCGATTTTGAGCTAGTGCTTATGCTTGTTGGTGTCATTTTACGAGCTGCGCCCGGCAAGCGGCCATTTTTGGGCATTTTGAGTGTGGGCACCTTCTACGGCTCGGTAATCACACGACTACGTTGTTGGCTGGTTTTTGAACAACAAATCAATACTGCGTGCAGTATTAGGGCGACTGTTGAACCGCTTGTTTTGAGGCCCTTTTAAGTAGGAAGGATGCATGAACAAGAAGTAACTTGCGTAAAGCTGATCGTCAAGACTGCGCATGTCAGCTGTCATCTCACACATTGTTAAACAAGTAAGAATCCACAACCCGTCATCTTCATGTGTGCGACGGTTTGCCATACGTACTTAGTTGCGTTTTTTGTCCGGAAGGTTATATGACCCGCGTCCTCTTTGACACCCAAATATCCGGAACCTCATTTCCTTCTTCCGCTAGCGGCGTTCAAATAAGTCAGGCTATTCCTTTTTGTCAGACTAAGTTTCTGTTTGTAGCTGTCATGCTCCATTGAGACCGATGTTCAAGACATAGCATGTAGGACCGCGTCCAGAAGCAGTCAGAGGTTCAATGTGACCAGTCATTTCCGATTACCCTTCGAACCGAGGAACGCTCATTGAATTATGCTGTAGTTGCCGTGTTTTTGCTCTTACAGTGGGTGAAGTCATACTGCCCTAATCTGATTGACGACCGAATAACTCAAATTTTTTCAGGTTGGTATTCGGGAGAAAAAAATGGAATGTTTATGTGTCTCTACAACTTGCAAACCCCTTCTTGTCTGAAATCATTTATCCTAAGAATGAGTCGGGGGGAGGGGTTCTTTAAAATTCAGCCTTACAGCAAACCGGGGGCGGGATGAGTGTGCGAAATATGTTCTCCACAGCATGCTGATAGGGCAGGAATGAATTTCATTTTTCCAACTGGCACTTCAACAAGATGCATTACTGCGGGTCGTCGCCGAGGAGCCACCAGAATACTCTGAACGTCTATCAATGCTTGCATGACTCAGTTGACACTATATAAATGACTGTCCTGCAGACCTTGAATGCGATGGCATCATGTTTGCAGATGATATAAAGATCTGGAAAACAATCAGCTGTGTTGACGACGCGCGGAAACTGCAGGAAGATGTCAATAAGTTGGCTGCATGACCCAGCAAGTGGCATTTAACGTTTAATGTATCAAAATATGTAGTCTTGCGCCTAGAATCTGGTTGATGGCCCTTCCCAAAACTCCGGTACACCATAAATGGGGTCCCACAAAAAGAAATAGACACGCTCAAAGACCTACATGTTCGGGCAAGTGCGAACTTGCTGCCCTCCAAACACTGCAAAAGAGCCGTTCAAAAAGCAAACAGCATCATGCATTAGATTAGGCGTGTCTTCCCAATCATCCTTCCAGAACTCTTCTTACCGATATTTGGTACGTCCGTCAGACCGCATTTGGAATACGGAATGCAGTCATGGACGCCTGGATGAAGAAAGACAGTGATGCCATAGAGCAGGTGCAATAGCGGGCCACAAAACTGGTGGACGGTCTCAGGACTCTGCCATATCCAGAAGGACTGACCCAGCTAAACTTGTTTGTCCTATCCTATAGACAAATGAGGTGGGATCTGTTATGGACATTCCACATTATCCACGGGCATGAATGTTCCCTCAAATCTGAAGACTTCTTTGAATTCACGCCCATGAGTCACTTGAGCGGTCATCCGGACAAAGTCAAGCGGGAGCGTACACACCTGGACCTCAGGAAGTTTTCATTCAGTCGGAGTGTTGTTCGACCGTGGAGCTCACTCCCAAGTGAAAAAGTGACATCTGATACAATGGTCGTATTCAAAAGGCAGCTGGATCGTTTGACCTTCGATGAACGACGACTCTCACTTCAGGACTATCTGCGGCAGGCCATAACTTTTATTTCCTGATTTCATCTCTATGTAAAGCATGCCTGACGTTTCGTGAAATTTTCTCTCGCAAACTACGCAACTGACTGCACGTTGTGCTGATTGCATATAACTGCACTTAAAATTTCATGTCTACATGGAAAAGACCGCCTTCCGCACCCTTCGCAGTCCAGCACTGCAAAATCCCTTTCCGTAAACTAATATGTTACTGGCAAAATGTTAGTACAATGTGTATTTAACATTTATATTGTACGCATAGTTTTCAATATTGGTCAACAAGGCATAACCGACTTCCCCCAAAAAATATACCAAAATTATACTATAACTCTTCACGCTATTTGAAAGCACACTGGCGTTGTCAATAGATATCGTCATCGAATGCCATGGGTTAAATAACCAAGAAGTCGCTATGTGTGTTGACAACAGGCGACTTCGCAGGGAAAAGGGGAAAATGACCGAAGTCAGTGTGTGAGCAGGTCGAACTAGCTGGCCACCTCCAAAACCTTGCCCATATAGCAGCTGATAGTCACTCAAACGTTGTCTTGTTACCTTAGTAGGGCAACGCACCGACTGTTTGACTTGAATACAACTAATGATGGCTGTACATCCGACGTCTATTTAATGAAAAAAGAAAAGGAATATAGATATCCAGTTCCGTTAGCGAAAGCAAGGACAGTGATCGGAAACTGCTTGGAAGGGAGATTCTGTTATCAATCTGGATTCCCTTTTGCTTTGAATATGTGATATAGAGTCCTGGCAAACCGAAGCATTGTGAACAGAATCAAAAAATGCCGTCGGCAAAGCCCGTTTATTAAAGCTCTATAAGGCAAAAATTCCTCTCTCCTACTCGGTCCAGCACACAGAGTAGGTCGGTGAGGGCCACTTGTAAGCGACCTTGCATAGTTCCGGTCATAGCTGGCAGGACACAGTTCAACAGTATGAGGTTTCACATCATGGTCTATAAGCGAGGAATGGATATCTGGTAGAAGGGTGCTCACCGATCGTGTTACGGAATCTACTCGTCCCGTTGTGTCTCGAACCCAATTAGCAGCCGCACAGTGGCGCGCAGTATAGGTGGAATAATATCTAACATTTCGAGTTTCAGCTTAGTGTAGAACTAGTTGGTAACGTGAAACAAACGACAAATAAACACTGTACGCTTCCTTGTCGTTTTAGTAATATATAAAGTAACTAGCACGATTTTCGCCGCTGTTAAACCTGGGTGTCAAGCAAACTTCACCAAAACCTGTAGGCCTGTCGGCCCCTTCTAAGTACGCTGTAGCCATTTTCGACCTAGAAGGCACGTTTCTTGCAAATTCTGTCAAGTCTATTTATATTTCCGCCATCCGATTGTTAAGCAACACATACAACTTTTATTCGGTTGTGAGTTTGAATGAAAAGTAAGTCTGGAGGTCACATGTGGGTCTGAGGTTCTAGCGAATCGATAAAACTCCAAGAACGTGATAGAACAGGACGCTTCCCGAAATCTAGCAATACAAATCACTGAACAGAATTAGTGACACATTTGTCTTTAAAATAGAATCTTCAAGTGCTGTAAGATTTTTTGAATAAAACTAGTAATTCGCGCATTAAATTCGACAGTTGCTTTGGCCAGACAAGAGTCAAAGTGGTAAATTCAGACAGCTTTCTGGTATAGAAATTATTGAGGTTGACGATGAATTCAAATGCGTACGGGGCACTGATAGAGACTCGTCGGGATACGATGATTGGCACCTCGAGGGTTTCGAAAATAAAAACTTGGGAGACAAAGTTTGACCCAGCGTAACTGCGGCGAGGGAATTTAGAAACAACTTATCAGGCGGTTACAGCAAGCTTTTCCTTTAGTGGAGTGCGTGCGGTCGAGGTTTTGCCTCTGACGCGAAGCGTGTATGCGCCTGGACTTTGTCCGCCTCCGGCCAATCAACGACGGACGCAGCGCCGATTAGCCTCGAGCCCTTACCGCGCTGGTGCCAGGTTCTACACGGTTCAAGTTATCGATTGACAGGGAGCCCGGAGTGGGTTGGAGGTGTTATTTGTAAGCGGCCGGGCGGCAAACACGTGAGTCGAATGTCACAGACTTGTGAACTTTTATCTATGTTTACCTAAGACTGACTACGAACAATTCAGGTCCAACAGATTGCACCAGAAAACTTCTGGTGATCCTACCATTTGTTCTTGGCAGTTTTCTATAAGGTTAGGTAAGGAGTTTGAATTGTTTCGGTACAAATCATAGCCCATTTGTCCCGAAAAACAAACTCTACGGACCATATTTAATCAAAACTGGACTGACCGCTTATACGTTAGATGATCCGAATATATCAATGAATTTTCGTCACGATAACACAAACAGAACTTGTTTACTACGAAGATACGCGTTCTCCTTATGTACAACACTTTCTTTGTTATTTAAATAAAACAAATTATGTTTCTGGCCAACTGTGTGCACCACCGGGAGGGCATAGACACCAGCTCATCTTGCCCTTTATGAAGTCACAGAACGCGATATTACTAGCACAATTCCAGCAGCATGGCTTTGTCGATATAAAAATGTTATCATCAACTGTTTATGATCGTGCTTAAAACGAGGGCCACAGAGATTGTGCAGAACATTCAAACACGCGGTACTATAACGAACGATGGGGCATCGTTAACAGAAAATCAATCCTCCCTCTTTTAATAATTGATATCTAATCGCTCAGTGTACCACGTTACCCAAGTCACCTGTGCCAGTTGTTCGTTCCCATTACTGTAGTGATTTGGAAATCCACACTAAATTGCAACTTAGACCACAAATCTTCATTTTCGTTTGATGTCCTTTCCTTGAGTGGTGGAGTCCCCCATTCATTCAAATAGGTCTTCGTATCAGGTCCTTATTGGTTATTTGCCGGCTGTTGAACGCATGCTTAGTGACTGATCAGATCAAGTTTTAAATGATTAAATTATGCTTACCATACATAGTCCTCTTATGCCTAGGTGAAAATTTGCGATAGGGAAACTAAACTAAAATAGGCAGTTACCTTCCCTACAATAAAACCTATTTCATATCTTACATTTCTAACGGATTTCCTCGTAATCCCCCAGCTCTGCCGCGGCTTCCATCGACGATCATTTATAATGAACAGCTCAAAGTAGATTACTTAATGCGTATTCTACTGAGATTACTATCGTACAGAATTTTCTACGAAGGTTTTACACACGAGTCAACAGTGATAAAACACTGTAAGCGCCGAAAACGTGCTGGGACCGGTTTCTAGTAATTCAGATCACGGACAGGAGTGTATAAACAGCAGTCGGAAGCTAAATGCCGTAGTCCACGACCAACCAAACTGACAGCGGCAATAGCCTAATCTTGCAATCAACATTATTAGACAACGGGAGGTTACCTCGAAACACACGTACCCTGACTTTCAGGTTGCCCGGAGAGGTCCTATGGTGTCGTTCGTTAATCATTTGTGCACGACTACTTGGGGATCGTTAGTGCTAAAAACCTTTGATTATGACGCTGAGTAAAGACCAAAAAACCAGTAATGTCGCAGTTCCCGGGGGTATTTAGTTCTGATGGGGAACTGGGGGACAAAAGCGTTACTTGCTAATCGCGTATCCAGCAATTGGCATATCCATTCGTCGCGCGGGTCGTGTTCGGATCAAAAACAGTTATATAACCGAAATTAATTCAGGCCGTGGTTTGTAGGACGCTACTTATGAGGCACAGGTTGGTTTATGTATTGTGTACTGTAGCTGCCGAAATGTGCGGCAGCGACAATGTCATCATCATCATCATCATCATCATCATCATCATCCTCATCCTCATCATCATCATCATCATCACCACCACCACCACCATCATCATCATCATCATCATCGCCCGCACGGTTGGCATTCTCATGACCACGATAACCATTAACACCGCTGTAATTTGAGAGAGAATATTGCAGTGCCTAGGAAATTCACCCACGAAACTAAACTTCTCCGATTAACCTACTTTGACCAGGTCAGATGAGGCTGCAACTGGTGCTCTTAAGAGTGACAGCAGTGGACGCCTATACTTGACCATCAGAAATGTCTGAGACAGCCAGCCACGTAGTAAACTGCTTTTGAATGACCTGCCTGCCAAGTCAAATGAGTTTTTAACTGGCACTTCAATTGTCAGCGCTCACTTTAGCACAACTTAGTTTACTTCGACGTCGCGTTTATCTGGATAACCTACTGGACTATGTAAAAAAGGCTTTTGGGCAACACTTAAACGTACTTTTGATGATCCGAGTAAAGAAGAGTCCGAAGTTGTGATTGCTTGTGGGTAGGACGACTAAGATAAGCTTCCCCAACTCAGACTTCTAATTACTTACATTTGTCTTGTTGACTATATAATCAGGCAGCAAAATAAGGCACTTGGCGATGATTATTGTTGTATGAATTCAGTCAAATCTGCATGTTAGCATTAAACGTACTCACGGCAGATATGAACTCTGGCAAGTTGCCCATGTCCGAGGACTTCAAACGAAATTTAAATGCCCAAGGTTGAAATTTAATAATTGAATCTGAAATCACTTGATTGGTGTTCTGTAAACATCTTGGCAGTTACGACAAATGACTCAAACATTCCAGCGATCATTGCTTCGCCGACAACCTTACAAAAATCCCAAAACACAAGCCGCAGCGACTGTGACTCTTATCAGTGTTTGGTCGCTCATATAATATAACAAAACTTGTGAAAACGGTCATTATCCAAGTTTGAAGAGGTACACACAATACACGCTGGACGTCATGTTTATTCAATTCTGGGCTGCACTAAACACATTTAGGGGATCATGAGTCAGTACTTCGGCTTCTTATCGTTAGATCGTTCACGGTTAAGGAGACCACATCAAACGATACCATGCAACAGGAGAAACACAATTTCGCCATTAGGGAGGCAAGCGTCATCGGCCGAGCCAGCGATAAGGTGGCCAGACTGGTTCTCGAAAGTTGGTCCTCAGTTGGCACAAGCAACAGAGCCATTGGTCGTCATCCGGCCTACCAGGCGCTACCTACGAGGCTCCAGTCAGTTCGGACGGGGCCGACAGCGCTGGAGAACAAATCGCGGCTCTCTCAACAGTTGTCACCTCACAGCAGGGGGGGGCGAGCCAGCCGGGGATCAGACGACCGACGCCAGACATCGACCCACCGACGCACCCAAACAACCGAACGCGATTCACGCATGCAACGACAGCTGATGAACCGATCAGGTTAAGGGGTTAGGGCCCACGAGTACACAGACTTAGCAGCGACAACGACGGCCGGACAGGGGACAGAGGTCAAGCGAGCGCCCCAGCGGTCGGCCACGGAGAGACCAAAGCCAATCCCCCGCCAGCAGGTAGGTCAGAGTTCGTGCGTCAGGCATGCCTATAACACGAGGCAGGCGGCGAGACAGAACAAATCTGGGTTAGCAGGAACAAACACCTCACCACTTTGATGATGGAAAGGCGGAAGTTTCAGAAACGTCAGTACCAATACAGTGTGGTTTATGGAATCGCCTCATTTTATTCTTAGTCTTCTTTTGGGGATGATGAACAAAGTTATGTATATTATGACAGATCGGTGCTCACCGATCAGGTTACAGAACGTGCGTGTTCCGCTGTGCCTTGAGGCTCACTCTAGAACCCTCGCAGGCAATCGCACAGCGACTAGTAGTAGAAGTAAAAGTGATGGTACCTACAAAGACAAGGGAGACCAGAATGGCCATTTCTGGCTTACCGGCCGTCATCAGCCAATCATACCCAATCCCAATTGTGGATTACTTAAGATTCAAACCCGAGATCTTTGGTCATGAATTTCGACATTCTACAATTGAGCCACGGGCCAGCTGTCCTGTCGGTTGTGATCAGGAATATCAGTTATATATTCACTCAGGGAGGGGCTCACACCGATCCATTGGCTTCCTGAAGCAAACAATCTTCGTGTGAGTGATAGGGGCTACGAACAGGCAACCACCTACCAGGCCGAAGTTGGCCAGGCTATGATAGCTGAGGGCCTTGAATTTTGGTCCCCCGGTCCGCTCTGCAACATAATCCCAAGGTAATTCAGTTAGTGCAAAATTCTGGCTTTTGAAATAACGTCTTTTCGGCAGCCCACAACATTTAAACTTTAAAAAAATGACCAATTAAGTAGTACGACTTTTCTTCCATTGATGTTTGATGGCCTTATAAGTTCAGGTATATCGCATAGAAAACATGCATAAAGTATTCATTTTTTACTCAGTTTGGTAGAAAATGGCTTCTTGTACAAATTTTATGCTTGAGGGGAGAGTATAATGCAGTTTTAAAAAAAAATTTCAATTTCCGAATAATTTTGAACTTGACCTGTCTTTACACTTGCATTCAGGGTTTCTAAACTACAAGGATTCATAGAATTTAGTAGAGGATTTGAGTCATATTGTAAAATTTACAAACAATGTTATTAAATGCAACGACAAGATGTTCTATGAATGGGCATTTCACAGCATTAAAAGCCTCATACCTATTAACTTTTATAAGAACCAAATTATGACCCCTTTGCGAGTGTTAAATTGAAAGAAGACGAAATTTTCCACCGAATGAGTGGAAACTTATACGGGTATCGACAATCACTGGAGAAAAATTCGCACTAATTAAGTAGTAATTTTTTGCGGGGTTTGAATTGTTAAGGTAACCGGAAAGAAGTTCGCTCAAAAGCCTGCATGTTGAACTAACTTAATTTTTTTGGGATTATGCTGCTGAGTGATTACTATTATAACACTACCTAAGTAATCTTTTCGAGTGGAAAAGGTACTTCAGAATTTCGGTTAACATTGAATGAGTTAGCACATCTACTGTATATGAATTAAAAATGGGCATCTCAAGAGATTTAATTAGAAGGGGGAGATTATTTGGAAACTTGAACTTTATTATGCAAATTTTTTTGAGAATTGTCCTTTAGTTTATCTTCAGATTATGGGTACGAAGATACAATTAACTTCGTAACTAAGTCTAACAAAAGATTCTACGATTGATCAGCGTCTGTGGTAATACGTGTTTATCACATTTCGTCATGTTTGCAGGATTTTATAATTTGTCATAACACTATACCATAACTTTATTAAGCATAAGCAAATAGTTCGATGTCAATCGATACTTGGGTGATTTTGCCTACATATGGAAATTTCAAAGGCATCGATTCATACTGAAAATGTTCAATAAAACTCCCCTTTTTCGAAAGTTCGATAAAATATTTTACTCTCACACATCCTAGGTCAGTATTCCTCAAGTAAAATGTAAAGCATTCGTACAGAACCATACAAGGGGGAGAAAGTAGTTTTTTGCGGATTGCAGGCATAGCTTAGTTTATTGTTGTAATTTAGATTCTAGCTTATAGCCTGTCTGGGTCGACAAATAGGTTGCCCGTCTAGATCAAAGTAACTTAATCGTCAGGGTTGAAATGTTAGGGATCGAAACTGTTGAGTGGCATTTGCCACAGCATATAAACCCATAATTTGAAAGAATTCTTGGGTTGCAAAAATCATGCTGTTGAATCTGAAACCGCAAGTACTGGCCGTAACACTGTTCGTTATTTCATTGGGTAAGGAAAATTTCTTTTACTTTTTTGTTAAGAATGAAAGCGCCGTTCTGAATAATGCAGCCTATGTAAATGTTTTTAATTTCCAGTAAGAAAGTTCAAAATTCTTAGAGATATGTTGAGTAAATTCAAAAAAATTTCAAAAATTAATTGTCTTCGATTGTTCAAGAGTGCGCAACAAGTTCCACGTGGCAAGCCTGGACCATTCTTTGCTTCCAATTTTAATTGGCCCTATTTTACTTTGTAGCACTTGATGGATTTGGATGCAAATGTAGGTCCACAGTATTGCTTAATCGCCTTATTACTACGCTCGTCCATCGGACGTCTTGAATCACCCAAGAGATCACAGAATAAAATTTTAAATAACCTAAACGAACTTTTAAATGTTCAGATTTATTTAAAATAATAAGTTTTACTCCAAAACTAACATGCAAACTAAGGATAAGTACAATACGTGGTCGGAAATTCCTTCATCTTTGTATAGCCTGCGTAGGCGAGATGCAACGAAGCTCTTTGATAATGTAACATGTCATAAGTAGGACTGTCAACCACTACTCCTCTATTTACACATTATTTACGTGACATCACTTTGTCTGCTACGGTCCCTAAAAGAGGCCCTACGCTCAATCTCAGGTCACACATGCAACACAAACTAAACTGACAGTACCAGCCACATGACAGTAGTTTAAAAAATGTTGTCCTTGTTTAGGTGCGAAGTTGAGGACGTTCTTCGAAAATAGCAAAAATTTCCAACCTCCATACCAGTGGCTAAGCATTTTATACAGGGCTGACATGGCTTGTTCCCTCTGTAGGATGGTCCTCTGAACGGCCCCTGGAAGTGGGGTTTTTATGTCGAAAATCTATGCCAGAAATATGTTTGCAGAAATCACATCCCGTAGCCGTAGTATTAACAAACCCTAAAACACATTATATCCAGAATGGGGCTGACAGGTAATTGCAACTAAGTTGTCCCTTTGACTGCATTATTATCGCAAGCACAAGTCGCAATAAAAACGTCCTTTAAGTATTTTCAAATATCTGGGGAGGGGGTGGTGGATAAATGCAGTTACTCGGTGAGTCTTGTTTCAAGTTTTGTATTGAACAGTTGAATCATTCAAACCCTCAGTAAGGAACAGACACCTTGATTAATTCGTTGTCGCTGGTCATGTATGACGTGCCGTTTGCTCCCCCTTGCATATACCTGATCGGTGTTATCGGATTCTTGGGTCTCAGAAGATCTTTCGCCACGTTTATTGATGTAGTCATTGTTTCAGACGAACGTTTTAAAATCGCCTTTGACAGAAATGTGATCATAATCCATCATTTGTATAGTCAGTTAGGGAGTAATATGGAGTGAGACAAAGGTTTATTAAGTAAAGATTGTAAGGGAAAAGTGAAGAAAGGGATAAGCAAATCGTGAGGGCGGAATCCAAAGCGGGTTACGGCGTGTGTCCCTGGCGCAGGTATGGTGGTTGTTCGGTAGCCGGTTTAACGTTATTAAGTGGATTGTCGATACCACAGAAGCCGAAAAGAAAAGTTGTCAATTAAGCATTAAAATCCACCGCCAGATCTTATCACATCGGCCATTACTCATGTAAATTGTGTTACTGGTATTCGGTTGTCTTATATCATTGGCTGGTGTTTTCAGTTTTACAGGAATAATTACTTTGCAAGTTCTAAGGGAAATTAATTGTAAATAACCCCTTCAATATGACCGAATTTTGTCCCGTTAATAACAACAGAGCTTATAAAAACGCTTTAACTAAATTTAAAGAACGATCGAATCAAAATGATATCATAAATCACTTAGTATATTCAAACTGCAACACAGAACAAAAATTAACCATCAATGATGGCCGAAATCGGCATACAATTCGCTGCAAAAAATTTGTCTTATCTGTTGAACTAGGGATGCTTTTGTTTCAGCGTCTTTTCTTTATGTTACATTTGTGCGCTTTATCATCTGTTATAAGCGTCAGTAAGTTACTTTTTCAGGATGTTCTTAAGATAACGTTTTTTTACTAATGCTTAACAACTTTGCTTGCAGCCGACATACCGGAAACAGTCAAAACCACAGAACCAGTCGCAGTTGCAGCCACGAGTTTCACGGAGAAAACATGGCCACCGACACTACCGGAATCAATTTTTCTCAAGGCATTCCTAATGGCTACAAATAAAACAGGTGCCGAAATGAAAGAAGAGCTATCCTCAGAGACAAGCGGTAAGCCAGAAAATTTGAAGCGTTAACATATTCTAAGGAATAATTCACTTTTTGTATGCAGCCTAAACAGCCAAATATTTATGCGAAAAAGTTCAATCGGAAACTAATCTATGTGTCGAAATAATCTGCCAGATTCCAGGATTTTGGAAGTAAACCCATCTTTCGGCACATTGACAAGTAGTAAATTGTGCACATACGAATTTTACCGTAGATTGGAATGAAAACTGTGGATTAAAAATAAAATGAAAAAATAAAGGTAAAAAAATAAGATAGAGTAAAATAAAAAATAAAATAAAATATCTGTGATCCCAACGAAAGGGTTTTAGGGAATATCCAATTAGAAAGTGACAGTCGAAATTATTTTATTAACAGCTTACCAAAACCCTATATTTAACAACGCAAATTGACTAGAGGTTCGATTGGCATATATTTCGTCATCGGCCGCACGGTCATTACTCTAGACTCTTTTCCTTCTCGCGGGCACAAAAT